GCTGGCCGTTAATTCCAGCCTAGGAACCACTGAGGCGGTTCTCCTGTCCCAGAGGGTTCGGATACATCAGAATTGGCGCCACAGCAACACGGTTGGCTCTGGTGTTCTGCAAAGTATGAGAAGAACTGACCCGTTTCCAAGGGGAGCTGGAAGCATTCTGATACTGGGAGCCTCACGGGGTTTGACAGATGAGTAATAAGAACACTCACAAACTGCCACTGAGTCAATTCTGACCTCAGAGGACTGGCTAGAACTGCACCTGTGGGTTTTCTCAAAATCTCTATGCGAGTAGAAAACCTAGGAATCGTAGAAAAGGCTCAGAACTGTTTTATTTGGGGGGTTGTGGGAGATGGAGAGGAAAGCCGATTAAGACTGCCCAATGTTAAACCACAGAAAAGGGACCGAGGACTAAGCCAACCATGTGGGTGCCACCGTGATGTTCCTGGATTGGGTTGACCGCGGTTCTTTGCTTCATACACTGTAGGAATTCACACAGCAGAAGCACTTTTGTAAGGTGTTTTTTTTTTTTTTTAGATTTTTTGGAGGAAAGGGAGTGTCAGGTCTTTTAGTCTGGAAAGGGTACATGCTATTCCTGGGAAGCGTGCCTGGGCTGAACAGAAGCCACGTGGGGTTCACAAATGGGTGTGGAAAAACCACGTGGAGAAAATACCAGACCGGGGACCGTGAAACCCACATGTGCGGAACTGGGGAGTCAATCCCAGGAGGCCAGAGGGCTTGCGCCTGAAGCGGCCCTGGACTGGCCCTGAGAAGGCACGTGGCGTGTGGGTGCCCTCACACAGGTGGTCCTCCGTTTATAGCATGCCCCTGAGCAAGAACAGAGTGAAAGAGGGACTGATGGTGGGCTAAGAGGGCCAAGAGGGTGTGCCTGGCTGCGGGCCTGGCTCTTATCCCCTCCGACACCCCCTACCCCCACCCCCGCTGGCTGGGGGAGGCAGAGTTGAGGGCATTGGCTGACGTCATTGGCTGAGTTAAGCACACCTGGGTGATGTCATGGGCCTAGGTTGTAGCTTGGTTTGGTTTCACCTGCGCTTAGGGGTGGCTCCTTGTCTGCACATGCCTAGCTTGACCTTCCCTGGTCTCTTTCCAGCCCCTGTATTGGGACCATTTGTAGGCATTGGGGAGACAATCTCCTTTGTTCCTGATCTCGCGGTTTAATACAATCTCCACTTTGAAAGAGAGGGGCAGGGGCCTGTGAAGAGGGAAAGAAAAGATACTTTGAAAATTTGGAGTAGAAAAAGCTTGGTTGTCGTTCCTAACACATGGCCCTGGAAGTAGATGACAAAAGCCTGCGTGTTTTGGAGAAGGCTACTACCAAAGAAATACCAGCTGGATGTTGCAACAATGAGTACCAAACAGGTGAATTACATCCACAGTTTCCATGGAGGGAACACCCCTCAACCTCGACTTTAGACTGATCTGGGAGGGGAATGGGTAGAACTTTGAAGAATAGTGGAGAGTACGGATCCAAGGCATGCCAGCCAGAGCTGAGAATCAGGGTCTAATTAAGGAACTTCCCCGATATTAGGAACCAGATCTTCCCACAGACTCCCTGGAAGGAGTCTACAGATGCTTTGAATCAGTGTTCCACTTTTTTTCATTTTCCAAATTGAGGGTTTAATTAAAACAAAACATTTATTTTTGCAACTTGTGGCCATATCCACTACTTTCCATTCCATGGTGGCAGCGACAAGGACCTCATTTTTGTGGGTCAAATCCAGCTTCCCGTGGCCCTGTCTGCACATTAACTCCATAAGCTACAATCTTTTGGAAGCAGATCACCAGAGCT